GGGTAGGTTAGCATTACCATCAAAAGACATGAAAAATCAGATAATGTGATAAAATAAGGTGTTAGGATGATTTCTCTTAAGAGAGCATCAAGAACCTAAAAGCATGTATTGATGCATATAAAATAAAGCAAATTGACACCAAGTCCTAAACTTATCCCCCCAGCCCCTTCCTTGGTTAAACATCAATGTTCACAACAGGACAATGAAGGAAGGAACAATCTGAATGCACCAGTCTTTCACAATAAAAGAATCAGCCTCAAAGTTAGATGGAAAGCTACATACCTTAAAAATATCCTTTGAACACTGAGTAAGGATTGTACTGAAAGTAGAAGAGAGACCTAATTCCACTAGACTCTCTAGATGAGTCATTTTCTCAGTTTCAGTCTCCTCTCTGGTTTGTTCTAGTGTACTGCTCTCTATAAGTCCAAAACACCTACACAAATACAGTAAGAACAATTTCAGTAAGTGGAACTTGAAAGTTTTATTAAGTTCTTCATGCCAAGGTTTCACCTACCCTTAGCTTGCTTACCTATCCATAAACTGTAGTACAAAATCCTCAAATTCAGCAGTCGCAGAGCACAATTCTCGTTCCACCTACAGTTTTCCAATGCAAAAGAAGCAAAAAAGATTGGCTTTTCTTAAGGAAGCATAAGATAAACTTTATTTCTGATATTAACTACTTCAAAAACACTTGCAATTTTTAAATGACATACCACAGCAAATTTCCCATCAAAGCTTGTATAGTCTCAAGTACACCACATGAAACAATTACTGCATTTCTTAATTTTTTTTTTTTTTAACACTGTCCTATCAAATTTCCTGTCCTTGATGTTTAGCCAAATAACCTCTCAGGGTAAAATCAGGTCTGCCTCCATGGATACAACCTTTGGCCTTATGACTGATCCTCCTTTCCAGCAGGAGGTCAGTGAGTGCCAACTGTGGTGGCAGAATTGGCTGTGCTGACATATTTATATTAAACATCCAGCGCACAAACTCCTCTGTTAATTTTTGAGTGCTGCAGCTCTGAGGCAATGAAATTACCCTTCTTCCAGCAGCTGAGCAGCCAGAATCTGTGCAATCTGTAGCTACTAGCTGTTCTCAGAGCTACGAGAGACTTACAGCAGTGGATGAGACATTTTATAGGGCAGTTTCAACTACCACAGCAGACACTGCTGTTGCCTCATTTGTACTATGCCAGATACAGCTTCACTATCTGTGCTTCACTGCTGTATCAAAAGCCTAGTGGTAAGCAGAGAAACAGAAAGTATTTCCCATTCTCTCCCGTATTTTTTGCTACGTGAAAAAGAAAAGGACAAAGTATTAGAACAATGCTGTAGAATGGAGCGCAAGGAGCTCTGGAACTAGACACATATACCAATGGCACTGCAAAGCAGCACACAAGTGGGGTGACCATGTCTAATGACAAAGGGACAGAGAAGGATAAAACACAGAAGAGGGAGATGAGGCCTACAGGCTAATGATGTTACTATCTCTTGATTGGAAGAGATTAACAGGCACTTGAAGATAAAGCAATAGAATCTTAATCAGGAAAGAGAAGCATGACTGCAGGAACACTTTAAAGAGGTGCAAGTGTTTTGAAATTATTTCCCACAGAGGGAAAACAGCCCTGAAAAGTTAGAGTGCATTAGTTTTTTGAAAAATAAAACAGCTGGGGGCCTTTTAGTTTTGTTTGTTGTTTTAACACACATGAAGTTTTCAACAGGAGACCAAATTCCTTCAATCACTTACCTTTTACCTCATTCTAAGCTGGACTAGTTTTAACCTAGAAATGATGTATACACATCTTACTGCAACACTGTAGTCATCTGCTTTTTTTTGGTTTTCCTTATTTTTGCCTTAATGTTTTATGATGACAACAAGGTTCAAAAATTTAATGGTAAGGCAGCTGCCATTTTATTAGCCTCAGAAAAATTTAGATGGCAAAGGACCTCTGGACACGATGTAGTCCAACCGCCTACTCAAAGCAGGGCAAGCTCAGAGTCAAATTACACTACACAGGGCCTTGAGCAGACAAGTTTTGACATAAAAATAAAAACTGCTTGAGTTTAACATCTGTACAATCTATCACTAAGCAGCAATGCTAAGAATACATGGCCAACTTGCACACTGATGTCAGCTCTACCACACTGACCAGAAGCGAGCATGATCCACATCCTTGTTTTTCAGCTGCATTTTTGTTTAACGTAGTTTTATGTATACGACAGAGAGCAGCAAGCCTGTTACAGTTCTGACAAGATTATTACATTGCTAGAAATCAAATTGAAAACTAGATTATCATTTTGTTTTTGTAACTGCACAGCACTCTTACCTCTGAAAGATCATCTCTTTCTTGCAATACAGATGAACAATCTACTAAAGGCACCAAAGTAGAAAATGTTGCAATGAACTGGAATGTAATCTGTTGAGAGTTGCAAACAGCTCTTTAGTAAAGTATTACTGTATTCTACACATTAAAAAGCTTTTGCAATTAAGGTATGGGAGCAAAGGCAAACCATTACATTAAAAAAAAAATCCTTAGCCTAATTCTTCCACCCCAAAACTTCAATCGTTATTTCTGATTTAATAAATAAAACTTACCAGTCAGCACTGAGCAAAACCCCCTCAATTTTCTGAGTGAAGTAGCACTTAGTTTACGCTGAACTTTAAAGCTACAAAAACCCTATAACGTTTACATTGTTTGAATAGTCAATTAATATGAATTCCTGAAGATGGGGTTTTTAAGACCTAATGTAATGAAAACCTGGTGATAAAGGTCTTCCTATTGAGCTTAAAAGACTAGGAATATTTGCTAGGAGCTTTGGAACATCTATTTTATTTTGTTTTTCAGAGCTGCCCAAAAAGTCAGTACAATGCTTAGCACAATATGGTGTTAAAGATTCACTTCGCATTGTCCAACAAGGCAAAAGCATTACTGTAAGTTAGAGGCTTGTAATACTAACTTTTTACAAATGAAACTGTGCAGGAACAAAATCAGGTTAAGAATTTCTGGAAACATGTGTTACTTTATTTCATATGAATATAAAAAAGAAAAGCTTTCAGAGTGAACTAGTTGGCTAGCTATCTTCTTTAAAAAAAAAAAAAAAAAAAAAAAGGTAAGATTCATACACTCACCATACACTTGCTGAAGTCATTCGGATCCACTCCAGGCAACGCTCTCATCAGTAGAGGTAGCATGTGTGTCGGACCTTCAGGAAACCACTTCCCCCCCGACACCAGACTTCGAGCTACTCCAATTACACAGCTTAAAGTAGCTGTGAGCTGATGAGGTTCTGTCAATGTCTCAAGTGCAGGATATGTTCTATAAAGTTTAAGACCAGCCATATTAGGAACAATAATGTTTCTAAAGTCTTCAAAGAAAAGTGGATTATTGCACATGTTAAAGGGTACAAAATTTCTGCAAGAAAAATCCAAGCTAGTCAATGGTTCCAAAATTTTTTTCTAATCTTTTTCCAATGCACTTAACATCGCTGTACTAGAAAACGTTCCTTTCATTTGGTCAGTCCTATTCCAAACAAATTCAGGATGAAGTACTTTGTTGGCAGTTGCAGCATAGGCATCAATAACTGCATGGGCTCCTAGATTCAAAGCTATGATAATTTTCTTGTTCGAACTTTCAGCTGTGTACTTACAAGTGTAAGGTTCTTGTGGCAAGCATGAAAACTTGCCTTGACTGCCTCTAAACATATAAGGGATATATTATTACTTAATGCTACATTAAAGTCCATACCTTTTTTATAAAAACCTGTTAAGTTAGTGTAACAAAAAAAAAAAAGTTTAAAAATCACAGTAAGTAGTTTTTAGCAAACTGCATAACACTTCCTACTGTTATCAACAACCTACAGTTCAAACGAGCCGTAGTGCTACCCCTGCCCTACATCACCCAAAGCATAAAGGACCTACATTTACTCAACAAATTAATTCAGAACTGCCGCCAAGGCAAACATACCAGTGATAGTTTGAACAACTGAGCAGACGTTCAGACTGCTCTCAAAACAGAAAAAGTAGTCATACCCCATACAGCCACCCATTGCTGTCCTTCTTAGAGCTGCTAAGCCTGAAACGTTTTCATGTAAGAGCAGATTCACCAAGTTTTTACTAACAGTTGAGTCAGCAAGGTTTGGAACACGGGACTGGCTCTTCAAGACAAACCCGCTTCTCCACTGTTTTTACAATACAAGGTGTTAAATTACAAAAGCCTGCATAGGAGGGGGAATACAGATAGGGACTAGGAAGAAAGCTTTTCATTGGGGCTGGAAGGAGTTACATTTTTAATTTGGAATTTCAGGCACCAAGGCATTAGTAATAGTACAAACTAAGCATTGTACATGAGCATATACTTTAGTGATTTGCTTATGAAGTCAGAAGCACTGACAGTAATTTTAAACAATCCATAACTGTAACATACTCTGACACAAAACAGAAACACACAATACCCCCATTTACATTTGGCCCAACTGAAAGCTAGTGAGAAAGTACAAGGTGGCTCACAAATAAAGGGTACAAAGTTGCGTTTTCAACTGCTCTGCCCACAAAATGTTAACTGCAATGCAACCATCTGGGGGCTACCCTGTATTGCACAAGCTGGGAACAGCTCTCAGAACTATTCCATTTGCTAGCTGTTCAAAAATAAAACAAAATAAAACAAAACCCAAAGTCCTCCCTCACTCCCTGTCCTGACTCAGGTAATTGCTCAGGGGTGTGTATGAAGAGCTCCTCTCACTGCAAGCATTCATTCACAGCAAGGAAATTGCTTATCATTGAATACGACTGCTTTGTCTATTTATTTGTTGGGAAGGGAACAGGGAAGTTGTAATGTTTCTGCAGAACTTACTTCTCAAGTACTGGTGGAATTACTAATTCAGGACGCATCAGTGCAAGGTTCTGCAAGGCTTGGGCAGCCTCCAGGCTTCCAGTTTTACTAAACATAGCCAGAAGAACAGGTTGAATAATGCATTCTACAAAGTCTGTAACATCCTGATCAGTAAGTTTATGACTATCAGGCACAGGAGTTAACCAAGTCATTTTCTTGTAGCGCTCACGATGAAGCCTTCTGACAACACCACTCGGTAATCTTTGAAGTAGTTTCATCAGTTTGTTCTGTTGAATATACAAGAAATGCTATTCAATTACTTGGCAGTAGCAGAACCTGAGCTAAGTGCACAACAGCCAATTAGTAAGCCAGTATCTTGAAATTACATAACTGCAATAAGAGAAAACTCAGAACTCTAAAATACCATGTTCACAATTTGTCATTAAACTTCAGTTCCCAAAATACTATCAATTATGCTGCCAGAACTATGTCTTGTGATTCAGAAAATCATGAATATACACACACAAAGGATATAGTCAAGAATCAAGATTACTTACCAGTAATTAGGACACCTTCGAGAGCATTCTCTGCACACAGGTATGCAAATATCCTATTCTAGAACAAGTCAGCTCCTCTGACACTGCTTTGACCAGCCTTGCTATTTTTATGCATACTTTCTACCAGCTACCACAGGCAGATCCTTACATTCTGTAGCAGAAAACTCCACTAGCTACACCTCCAAAAATTATGCTTCGTCAAACTAGATACGCATTAAAATTTTTTTTTTTTTTTTTGCTTTGGTTAATCAAAACTAGATTTTGATAACTTGGAGACAGTAGGTCAGTAAAACAAAAGCTACGTCACACAAGTAATATTGATGCTGTATATCACCCTCCTTTAAAGTGTTGACTTTTTTCCTAGGTACATATGAATTAGATGTTTAGTTTTGGACTTCTAAACTGCACTTGGGTTAGATGCTTGAAGAATACTCCCATTAGCTCTGGTCCTGACATAAGAATAAAAGTATGATTTGAGTGGCAGTACAATTGCCTATCTTGAAAATTAAAGCCTCAAAATATTATACAACCAACAGACAATCTGGCTGTTGGACCACATAGTGCATCTATCAACATGTTTGATTTGACAGGTTTGATCATTGAAATTACAGCCAAAGTTATTGTCTTGATAGGCAAAAAAACTCACCAGCCAGCGCCCATTATTTGAAGGATGGTAAAAAGAGGCAATGCTATTGAACAACCCAGACAAATGCTTCTGCACTAGTTTACTTGGTCCACCCTGAAAAAAATAAAACACAGAATTTTATTACACAGCCTAAGTTAAAATGAACAGGTAACAGAGTAGCATGAGGTACAAGGGAGCACTCCCACTTATCACAGCAACACCTCGAAGCATCAAATCACATCTGCAATTTCCTCCCTCCCCCCTCTCAGCTCAGCACTAAGTAGCAAGTTCTCTCCATCCGATCCAATGAGGTTCACCCTAAAAAGAGTGTTTCAATTGTTCAGCAGGTCCCGAGTGTGTATTCACAGGGGCACTTGTAGCTAATTGTTCATTTCCAGAACGCCACAGACAGCGGCTGTGAAATAAACCTTTCCATACATATTCCAAACTGACCACAAAACAAGGTGTTTTAAAACAAAACTTGGACAGAAGATAGCCTAAAAACATGCTTCTGCAGTGAGCTAAACAGAACAAAAATTCATTTTAAATACGTACTTGCTTAAAGCTTTGCATTAGTTTTTGTTTCACTTTATGAAAAGGTACTAACCATCATGGCTGTGATCCACATTACCGCATGACCTACATCATAGGCATTTGTTAAGAATCTTGGAACAACAACTTGATTGCTTCCCACTGGAAGATTTAAACTCCTCAAAATTCTGGTAAAAATCTGGGAAAAAATAAGAAAAAAATTGGCATGAAATAATTTATGCCATAAAACTAGCATAAATTAAATTTTCTAATCAAAAGGTGCTTGGTGGTTTTGGGATTTTTTAAACAATATAACTGCTATGAACATCTTTAAAAAAATTCATAAACTTAAAGACTTAAAACATCATACATATTATTTATCAAAAGAATATCATTAAGGGCCATTTTCATAAGCACAGGGAATCCCATACCATCGGACAGCACTTGTATAGTAAGGTACGTTGTTGCTTTGGTTTGGTTTTGAGTCAGGTGATAACCATAACAACTTTCAATGCTGTCTGTTACAAAAAGATGGCTTGAATTTTCAAAGTTCAACTTAGGTCTTCAAATGAATTAATTTGAAATTTGTAAAACTGGGCCACTGCAGTATAAGACACTTACAGGGAATATGAGTTATTCTTAGTATAGTAACACTGAAGACTTAGCTCAAAGTAAACAAAATAATTTCATAAAATGAGAAATATTACCTTTGGTACATACGGATCCCAGTCTATGTACCCAATGTTGTCAGTGGCCAAGCGAGCAAAAAGATTTACTAGATGCTGAAAACAACCATAAAAGAAGGAAATATTCATTAGGATATATTTATAATAAAAGATGCACAAACCCCTCAATCTACTTTGTAGATGCACGATAAAAGCTGCATTAAAGCACTTTTAAAGGGAGATTTCACTCTATCAGAAGCCACTAATACCATATTTCATAATGCATCTGAATTCTTACCTTCAGGATTCTAACTCACTACTCATCTGAGCACTTAAAGAGCAGGTAATTCTGACCTAAGTTCTGGGAGGGGCAGCCTGTCAAAATATACACCCCCACGTCTTCAATTTAAAAAAAAAATAAAAACAAAAAAAAAGTGAAGACATACTAACAGTACTTTTAGAAGGTATAGTGACACTCCCCCTTTGTCCCTGCTCTGTGAATTAATATGAAGAAAGCATTCACTATCATTTTATTTCTCAACTGTTTATTGTTAAAACAACTCTGAAGAACAGTAGATGAACAACAAACTTATACTTGAGCTATATGGTGTCAACCACTTCAGCTTTTGCTAAGAAATTTCTTTTCCTCTTGAGCCACTCTGAGCCTTTTTTCCCCTTTTTGAACAGCTTCCAGAGATCAGAAGACGCCCGGTATTAGCTTACAGAAAGACACCTGTACTAAGCTTCAGAGTCCTTCAAACGCTACCACCATTTAATCAACTGGGCGTAGCAGACTATTCTTTTCTGTAGCAAAATTTGGAACAAACTCCAAGTGACAAAAGAGAGATTTCCCAGCAAACCCACAACACAGCTTAAGCAAAGCAAAAGTCTCATAACAGAACAGGCTCTAGTTTGGTGATTTCACCGACTTCTCTAACAGAAACCTGTTACCTACTTTCACAGCCTTTGCACAGAAGACTATTCGGATTGCTTACTGGATATGCCCTAAGGAACATTCTGAAGAATGGAACCCTGCCAACACACAAATTAGGAATCCTCTTATATGCAGGAAGGAGAGAGACAGGATCTGTAGAAGATAGGAGGTTTGGGAAGAGAATAGACAGGTATCCAAAGACAAAACACTTTCTGGCAAGGGCAAGGGCCCTATGCTATCCACTTTGGCTGCCAATGCCTCATCCTGGTTCGTGATAACTTCAATCAGGAAGTGACAGCCACGCACACATTCCACAGTAACTCAGCTGGAGCAGCTTAACAAGCACATATGATTGTCAATTCATCTCATGGTGCTTCGTCACCACTGGAGCTCTCATGTGAGCTGAATGTGGACAGTGGCCTAAAATAGCATCTATATATAGACATTGAAGAAAATTCAACCAACACATCTTGAAGGACTGTTTAGCTTTTGCAGGATCCGTCCTACTTAAAGTGCGCTTGTCTGCGCTGATGGCTGTCAAATTTGTAAGCTTTGGTTTATACACAGATCTGTGGCTTGTAAAGGTCACAGGCATTAGCAGTCAGACAGGATAGCAGTACGTGACTATGAAGAATTAGATATTCCATCACCATGAGTCCAAAAGGGAACTCAAAGATGTGCTCAGGAAAGAGAGTTATCAGGACTAAACAAAAAAGAAGGTGAAGTCTCACTCTCATATCCTGACCGTGAGAAAGCATGTAATCTACCAACGCTCCTTTTATGAGCTTGTCCAAATATGGAAACACCGATGAGGTCTCCAAGAGTCTTCATGCTTCTGTCAGTATCTTGGATCTATGGCAAAGCCAAAGGGAAGGGCCTTAAATAATCCTGCCTAATTCAGAGACAGATATTCACAGAACAGTTCACCTCTCAGTCTGAAGGACAAGATAGCTTCGGAAATCCCACAAATTCAATTCAGGACAGTCATATCTGACACAGCCTGAAGACAAGTGTTATATTTTCTTAAATTATCTACATTTTTTCTTTGATACTAGGAAATACTCACTGAAAAAAATCCTTCCTATGCACAAAGGCAATCGATTCTATAGCTCTCCTTCAAACAGCAAGCCTAACTCCTGCCAAAGCAAGCTGAGAAAAAGCTTGCAGTGTACAGAGGCTTAAATTGGATTGCATAGTCAGAACCCATATGTCTAGTTATCTGCATCCAAGCTTGGTCAAATTAACAAGCCTGCCCTTCAGAAGCGGACAAGATAGCAAAGGAAATAAGAAGGGGGAGAAAAAAAAATTGTTCGGGCCTTCCAAGCAAACTGTCAGAATACAGTGGAAGAGGGAAAAAATAGCAGAGATAACTTATGAAAGACTGTTTATGATTATTTGTTAAACCTTTTGACAGAAACAAACCAAATCATGATATTAAAGTGCAGGTTGTCATCTTTCTGTCAGAAAGGGTAGACAGAATTGTGATTTTTTTGGATAGCCATCAGAAAGATGTACGAGTGTCTACAGACAATCTCAGATAAAACTTTGGCAATCGCCCCTGTTCAAACCTGGACAATTGCCAACTGCTGGAACAAAGGCTGCCTTCCTTTATTTGTGATGAAGCATAACTCAAAGTAGAAAGACCTAAACACAAGACTTTTCACAAAGAAACTGCCAGAAATGGAACGTGCTACAAAGGTAGCATTCAATAGTGTTTTGGAAATCAGCCTTCTCCAGAGATACCTAGAAGTCCTCCTTGTGTATATAGACAGGAGATTAGTAAAAGGAGCCAGATGGTCAATGAGCTTATGTTCATACAGAGTATGGAAAAAATCTGGTAATATGCCAAGTTTCACTGCAGCAAAGCCAAGGCATAGGTCAGCTAACAACAATAGCACCTAAGCTGCTGGTGGCATCGTCTCAAGAATGAGACTTCCCTTTCCCAAGTTTGTATCTAGTCATAGGAGAGACACAAAAAAGGCAGACAGGTACATGGTAGACTACTTTCCTTGAAAGATATAGCCCAATGGTATTTTTGGCCAAGGGGAGTACAAGTTCTTTACTGTATCTAAAATAAAGATGACAACAACTCATTGCAGTCAAGACAAAGCATTACGACTCAAAATTAGGGATCATGAAAGATCTGTTAAGATATAGAAGATGGGACTCTACAGAATTATAATTTACAGAAGTCTCAATAGCACTTGGCATCATTGTAAGCGTTAGCAGGCAGTTTGGAAAATGCCAGCCTTCCCAAGGCTGGAAAGAAAAGCTGCCCAAGCCATTAAACAATGTTCACCAAGCACAAGTGCAGTCTCATTTGTTCAGCCAGTAATTGCTTGCTAACAATCTTGAAATTATTGTCTCTGCTTTCTTGTACTAGTTAAAGTAGAAGGAAAAAAATCCATTATATCACTGCTTGGCTTCAATGCCTTGCAAGCACGTTGTAGGAATATTTAAATAGATTTCTTCTAGCATAGGTGAAAAGTAAATACTTACCCCTTCCCACTGGGGAAGATTTTGAACTGACACCCAAAGGCCTATAAACTCATCAAACCAAAGCCTGCAAGAGAACAGAATCAAAATAATTTTAACATTGTGAAAGCAGCTCCCTCACTAGATATTTTTCCCTCACTTTGGCAGGTGGTTGCAAGAACTCACCTGCTCCTCAACTCATTCAATAAGAACAGGGATCAAAGCGGACATGTTTGTATCACTTTGCCTCCACAACATCCCCCCCTATCCGAGCTCTGATCCTGAGTTTCAGCCTATGCTTCTTTTACCTCTCCTCCTCTTGCTCTTTTCTGATCCCCTCCTTTCACACAAGTGTTTCAACAGGAGTTTCCTTACCTACTTTGGCCTTGCCATTTCATTACATATTGCCATCCCAATGCAAGTAAACCAGATGAAAATAAATAACGCTTCATTTCCCTCTACTTTAAAATCTAAAATTTGTCCCTATTGACCAATGGTTACACGTGTCATCAGCTTCTATTCTGAATTCACCTGAAGCCAAGGATGCAAACCCTCCGCACCCGTGTCTCATTTAAATTCACCTTTACAAATTGTATTCACTCCCTTCCTTGAAGTGTTCGCTAATCCTATAGCACAAATGTACTTTTAACCTAACCAGCCTAAGTAATCTCCACGTGCAGTAAACATCACTGGCTTATGTTTCAAAGTTCAATAATCCTACCTTAAAGAAGATCCAGATACTGTCCCATCCTGTAAATGCTTCTCCTTTAATTCTCAAACTCATTTCCTATAGCACTCTTCCGACCTCCCACATTTCCACATCTTGACAGTGAACTGAAGACCTCTACCTCACTATACCACATTTGCAGTAACAGCTGTACTTCAACCTACATGAAGGACTCGTCAGAAGCTACTCCAAATTAAATAGAAGGAAGGACTTAAAGCTGTCCTATGGTTAATGATTCTTACTTGGTGAGACTGTTCCTTCAGAATTAAAGCGCATTTAATTCAATTTAGTTTGCTTTGTTGTGTACTGTGTGCTTTACTCTAGAGAAGGCAGAACTCATTAGAGAACAGGTACTAAGATTCCCCTGGGTTACTTCTACAAAAGAAGAATGCTGACAGAATTTCTGTCTTGACTCCTTCCAAAACTGCTGTTTCAAGCCACCATTCATCTTGCTGGTTGACTTCAAGTCATCCCATAAAAGCTAATTGCTTGCATTTGCAACAGAACACTACACCAATGGACATTCAATTACACTCACTTGAAACCTTTCTGATGAAGTTCTGGAGGAAGGGTAGTAGGTAGAAATAGTTCAAAGTAGGTAATAGCCTTTTGCATGGTAACATCAAATGGACACATTAAAGGCCTCCATTCATCCAGCATTTCCACAGTGGCATCTTCTGGAAAATATCTGAAAACAAGGAAAACATTGAACATACACAGGCTTTAAAGTTTGGGTCTTTTAAAAACATATTTAAAACTACCTACTAATTTGTCATAAATCTTAGGTTTACAGCAAGACCATGTACCCAGGGGCAACAGACAGGCAGTCCTCAACTCCACTTAATCTTCACAAAACACAGAGTTAAGATCAAGGACATCATGGTGCATCATTTTAAGACTACAAGTGTAAGAAAATTCTTGTCTTGTTGAATCAGAAAAGATTCTCTACAATGGAAAACCATTTCATTGTAGAGGCCGGTCAAAATCAAATAACCACTATTCACATTTGATGCAATATAAAAAAAGATTACTTAAGGCATGAGGAACATTTATCAGAACATTGCAAGAATGCCAGATATTTAATTTATTTTATAAGAAACTACTTATTCATTCACTGCAGTATTTAAAATGCATACCATACACAACTGTTTATACAACATAATTATTGCAGTTGATATGGGGCCAATTGGAAGTAACCTTATCAGCGTCCCAACCTTAAGCCATAATTTTCAAGAGACAAATAACACATTCATTTTTAAAACTCTGCTTCAGTGATTCTTGTATTCGTAACAGATATCAGAAAAATCAACATTGAAAACTAAGGAGGTTTATTTAGCTACAGAACCATATATATTAGGGAGAAGCGTAAGGTATTTTATCCTGATGCTCCTCATGCTAACAGTATGTGTTTGAACAGCATCTCCTATAGGAACGCTCAATGGACTAACATCAGTATGTGAAAAAACTGCTTCCATGAAAGCAGATGATAACTACAAATGGTCATATGAACAGTAATTAAAAGAACAAGTCTCTTCTCTGCATCTTTGTAGGATCTTAAGCTGCTAAAACAAAGTCAATTAGTGCAGAGAGTAAGACTGCTTCAGGCACACGCATTGGCAGTGAAAGTAACAGCACAAAAGAGCAAAAGCAATAGGGCATTATATCTAGTGATATCCTGGCTTAACTAACTATTAACAGATTTTCCACTAAGACTGTTAAAAAGAAAGAAAACAAACAAACAGCCTTACGCTTTGTTTAAATATTATAACATGGAACATGCCTGCCATTTTGTTTTCATTTTAAGCAACCTATGAACCTGAGGTATTGATCGCTGATAAAGCAGTAAAACAGAAAAGTCTCTAGCCTCCACACCAGAATTCTTAAATGAGTTGGGCCAACATCAGCCGAAGAATGACTAGTAGGGTGGGATTTTTGTTTTCCTTTTTTTTTTTTTTAAACGCTTTTCTTCCCCCTCTTAAAGTAATATTAAAGATACAGGCTTAAGAAAACCCCAACAAACACACACTTACGGTCTGCAGCTCTTCACAAGTGTTTTCAGAACACTTTCTACAGAACTGAAACAAGACAGGCAACATTAGGGATAGTACATTTCCAAATTTCAATGACAGCATAAAATAAACAACCATTTGCTGATTTTTCCCTCAAGAGCTTAAAATAACGTTGATGCAATTAGATGCCGTCTGTGAACATGCAGTAGCTAATTGCCTTCTACACAGACCTAATCATAACAATTAAAATTGCTCTGCTAAACTCCTGGTCCTACTTTTCATAAACCACTCTAGTATTTACTGCGTTTAAGAGAAGAGTGAAGAATTATCATCATTTTTTTTAAGTAAATGTCCTGCATTGTATCCATGATCAATGAGCAGAGCAAGGTAACTTCTTGTGGAAGTTGAAAACACAAACAGAAAAAATGAGTTTATGGACTTCATAAATATTTGTAAGACAAACAAAGGCAACAGATTTCAGAAAGTTATTATTAGACTCCAAACACTGTATCTGTCCTTTTCAATCTGGTTTTGTTTTTTGTCCAGTGGTTCTAAGAAAGAGAAGTGAACTATTTGCAAATCCATGGTTATTTCATTAGCTTCCCTCACAATTAACACCCGATTTTAAAAGTGTTTTCATCCATAGCAAGAAAACTTATTTGAGAAATCATTTTAACATGAATTGTCACAAGATGCCATCAAACCACTTATGAAAAAACTAAAGGTCAGAATAAACTCAAGGAATAAAAGGGAGGGGGAGGAGAGAGATCAATCAATGGAACCATAAAGGTAGTACACTGTCATGTTATTCAAATCTTCATAGCTTTTACTACGATAAGATCACAAGACTAAATTGCAGTTTTAGCAAAAAACATTCCCTGAATGAAAAAAAAAAGTTCTGGCAGAAGAACCTTCTATAGCTTTTAGTTGTGCTTCCTATACTCTTAATAGGAAAACTGATTCCTTTAGTTCATCATAAAAAACTAACATATAGAAATGCTATTTTGATCAGAAAAAGATGTATCATCTTTAGAATTTTACCAAAGATCAGTTTAGGTCAATTAATGGAGACACACAAATACTAAGCATGCACATACTCTCTCTCTAGTCCTACACAAAATAAACTGACCCCATTCAAGCCAGGTGAAATACGAAATGGGTACACCACTTTTTCCCTTCGACATGTCAATATTCACTGCAAACCAGCAAAAGCCCACCCAGCCCTCATAACACTACTTAAGTTCAAGCAGCACTCTAGAAGATGCAAAATTCAAAATTTTATGACAAAGTAAATCCATGACCTCTCCCAGAATGAAAATTCTGAGCTGACCGACATCTTCTTAAATTTGAAGAGGGATGGCCAACCATTCACTAAACAAAAAAATAAGATCAAATTCTGCAAGAAGCTCATAAAGATTCTGGGCTGAATACTGTTCTTGAAAGAGTTAGGTAACAGTTGTTCCAAGAGTAGGTAACCAAAGCATGAACTAGCCACATTCCTCAAGAGAATTAAAGATTAACATGAAAAATATTTGTGTGACAAAACAAACAAAAAAACCTATCCTCATTCTATCACACTCCACTGAAGTAAACTATTTCTAAGGAGAATCTGAAGGACAGAGGAGTTTTAAGAAACACTGATGTCAGACATCAACAAGTCTTTCAAATTCACGGGTTTTCAGTCAGATCTCAGCATTTGTTAGTGGAAGAAAGCAAAGGAGAAAGATTGAAAGGGATGTCCCCTCCTGTCTTCTGATCACAAATCTAGAATGGAAGCTAGGAAAAAAAAAAAACACCACAGCACCAGCAGACAACTTTGCACGTAAGGAAACCTCCTTCTAAGACAGTCAAGCTACAGACCAACTACAGAAGACATCTCGGGAGATTCCCAGTTGATGACTACTAGTTAGAAAAAGACAGGACAACAGAGCTGGGGAGAACAAGAGAGTGCTGGTTACTGTTTTCATTATCACTTTAAACCAACCCAAACTTTTAGCAGTGGCCTCTGTTCCACTTTTAGTTAGACTGTCTGCATACTTGTTACTGCAGATTGCTCAGAAGTATCTACAGCTATTGCTCTCAAGTTCTGTATGCTACTGTCCCACTGAGCCACAGATTAATAGAGCACAGAAACAAACAACTATATACATAAACCACATTAGACTGGATCAGCCTACTGTAGTTTGTACTCCTGCCATTGCTCAGGTATTTAATGCTGGCCGTTTGGATAGGGTGTTAAAACCTTTGTAATGGAGACATAATGAAGCCACTTACACTGGAAGGTATCTCCTACTAATTACTGAAACAAGAGCGTCTTTAATGAGATAAAGGAAAATTTCTCATCCCATTCAGTTTGCTTTGCTTTTACTTCCTCCTTATTACCTGAAGTATTATTAGCTTATTATTATTATGTCTTGCCACATGGATATATTAAAACACCCAACAATACTATGAACTCCTATCACTAGTCATCATTTTGGCACCATACGATTATTCTCTTCTTTTGGAAATGACATGACCATATTAACTTGCAAATCTGGGGGGTTTTGCCCTGCATTTTCAGAGAAATATGTTTCAGTTAAAACAATTGACATACAAACCGACACTGTTGACACATTATCAAAAAGCGGTAAAAGCACAATTATCAGTTTTTCAGGACAGATTCAGGCCTTAAGTGAAATTCTAGCCCTGCAGTGGCCACTCCATTACAAGAGTTTAAATTAAGACAATGAAAAGAGCAACCAGCTGTAGTTTCACAAATTATTTTAGTTAATTTCTAATTGTGGTGAGCAAAGTATCAATCTCTCATTGGATTAGTACAACTAAAAATGTCTTCCTAAAAAAAAAAAAACAACCCAAACACAAAACCACTGCAATTCCACTTCCACTTATACCAGTTTTCTGAACTGACAACACGCCAAAACTCCTGACATGGTTTTCACAGAAAACATTCACAGTAACCTCTTCCCACACAGAAACTTTGTTTCACACTTCACAGCTACAAGGCTGTTGCTGGGTGTATTTTCCAGAACCCATTACCTCACTGCTAAAGCACTTTCCATGATTTCATTGGTTTTAATAGCAAGGTACGCTTACGAGTAACATGCACTCCTACACCCATACTGATTTTGTCCATAGTCAGACATAGCAATTACTCAAATGTAAGATTCACCTTTCATTTGACCATTGAAACGTATATGCTGGTTAAATTAGTTAGCATATAGCCACTTTATCAGCCACTTCACACACGCTATCTTGTTCCCCAATTAGAAAGGTTTACATACAGTGCGACATTCTCATAAACAGTGGTGTAATGTTAACATTGCTTTTCCAATACAATTATTTACACAGAAAATTACACCTGTGTGACGAGTGTTACAGTCTAACAGAACATGCAGAAGATTACACATCGGCCAGAGCTGAACAAAACAAAAAGTCATTCTTACCACCTATGTAATACATTAAGCACAAATGTTTTAGGTGAAGACAAGCCTGGTCGATATGAACTGAATGTAAAAAAAAAAGAAATTAAATTAAACCACTAGTTAAATTAACAGCTATAAACCAAATCAATCAGCTTTTAAAAGTACCTCTTGACCTCCACAAAAAAAGATACCCCTTAAAATTGACGTAAAAAAAAAGAATTAAACACCGTATGAGAACAAATCGCACTGCATATTAAGATGGAGTGTCTGATACTCAACACAGTTAATAAAAGCTAAACAGTTCAGGCTGACCATCACAACTGGTATCTTACTCCCAGCTTCTCCTCCTTTCCCTCTTAGAAAAGCCCCCTCCCCACCATGCAAGTTTCTCACACCGTAAATGAACACTGACTAGGCAACGTCCCCACAGAGCAGAGTACACAGGTTCACTAGGTGCTGACATATGCACAAAACAAACCAACTAGAAAAGGCTCTGCTCTTTTAGATCTTCACTTATAAGTAATACCCACAATTAGCAAAATTATGCAATTTAGCAAAATTATTTTTCCAGCTACATAGCCGTGAGAGAAATTCGGCATGAAATGCTCTGTAACAAGTTACGGGGCTACATTTATTTTCTGTTCACGTCACTTATCAGCAACATGATCTTCCACTCAGTAAAAGGAAACAGTGGTAGTACTTCAACATACCTGGACAGAATTTTTTTTTTTTTTTTAAAGCCAATTAAGTATTTTCACCTGTATTTCTTTACATGAAGTTTCAATTCAAACAAACAAAATGAGTTATCCATGTAATATCTTTTATAAGCTGTAATTTATAGAGCAGGACTTTTTCTAACCGGAATTTATTGTAATTTTGGAAATTTGACAGATGGGGAGTGATTGGCAGCGCAAAGGAACCAAAGAAAATGAGTTTTTATTTTTAAAATCAGTAGAATACTTCAAAAATCCTTAACAGGGAAAAAAATTATTTGTCTATATGTTATATCATCACTTTGAACACATGTATGTATTTTCTATAGAAGGTACTTGACTTTTCTTTGTGTGCATATCCGTTTACACCTAGATTACAGATACTGGGAATGATTACATATTTAAGAACAAGAACTTTTTTATTTTTTTCCCAGACCCTTATTGCATTATAAAACAGCAACATTTCACTTGAATATTGTTAAAAATTTAACATTAAATCTGTCAAACTGTGGGTTACCATCCTAAAAGAAGTTGATGAAGACCTCTGTTCCAGCATATTTAGAAGTGAACTCAATCACATTCAGAAAGAGAGAAACATCACAACAAACACACAACTTCACTGGCTGAAGGATATACATTATTTAGTACAGTCTTGCACGCAATTACTGAAATATAGTTCATGAAAACACAAGCAAAATATTTACTGTGTATCAAATTCCAGGTATTAAAAGCAAATGACAAAGTACTTTTTTCAAGCATTACAGGTACTTACAGCCTATCAGATGTCTTAGAATGCAAACTTACTTAGGGAACCAGTTTAATCCAAGATGTTCTGTTTTGGAGTATAATATCCTTTCCAACATTTCATAAAGCGGTCTCCATGGCAACTCTAAATCATCCCTGGAAAGCAGTTCTTTCTTCCTAATAGAAAAAAAAAAAAAAAAAAGAAAAAAAACCAATGAGCAATTTAGGATTAACCATTTACATTGACACACTGCACATCAGAATACCCCAGATCGCTGCTCTGAATTATGCTTATCTCCAGCATTTGGCATAAACCGCAGGAAGGTCAGGCAAGAAAAAAGCTAGCCACTTGCGGCATTTCTGCATGAATGGAGCTGTCAAGATCTTCAGGAAAAGTCTGACTAAGCGAAACAAACATTATCAAGTTGTGAGACAGTCTTCATCATCTCCCTATTTGAGATTCAACCTTAACACTTGGCACTCTGAGATGTTTTCTTTCCCTAACAGGAAACAAAAACTGACATTCTTTCAATACCACTTCTAAAGCTCTGAAAGGACCAAGGTGTTTGCATAATAAGAACTCTTTTTAACCATCTGTGCAGGGAAGATTAAGTGAAGTAACCTGTAACAGAACTTACTGCTACACTGAAGTGTAAAACTACACGAAGCAAGTGAAGCAATTGACTACCTAGGGACAAAATTTCAGCAGTCAGCAGAAATCAGTACTTACTTTAACAGGTTTATCAAAAGACGTGCAAATCCTTGCATCATGCTTATCTCCAGTTTTGGAATTGTTACCAACTCATACAACAATTTGATAAAAAGTACATGATCTTCTCTGCTAAACTTTCTCCCATATAATCGGATGTATCTACAAACAAAACACAAGATGAGTCAGCAATATTTTTAAACATTTCCATTTTATCTAAGACCTGAGCCAGACTCCCTATGACTTGTTGTTTAGTGAAACAAAACTAAAACCTGATTCACAAGTCAAACGAATAAGAACCTGAAGATATATAGCAAAGGAAGAGTGACATCTGAACTAACTACAGAAAGAAAAAGAACGACTGAACAAAGTTCACAGTCTTCTAAGATTCTACAAATACTGTAACTTCATGTTCGCAGCAGATACCACAACCCAAGAATCATATTCTTTCACCTTAGTTCAAAATGTACTAGCCATTAAATTTAGTATTTCCATATCCCCATGTATTTATTTCTCTTTTTTTAAAAAAAAAACAAAACAAAACCCAACCAAAATCAAACCAAAGCAAACAAACAAAAAACAACAACACAACAACTGTCACAAGCAGCCTTACTATCCTCTATCCTTTTCAGCTGGGGCACTTTAAGGAGGAGACAGGACACAATCCAGAAGCTAAAAAAAAAATAAAAATAAAAATCAAGTAAAGTGCAAATCTGATAGCTTCTAGTAAGGCTGGACAAGGTTTAGACACTGAGCTTTGCTGGTGGGGTGTCCCACTGCTATCTGTTATATTTACTATCTTAAGAAAGTGTAGATTCATTAGGACCAACTCTGGAAGAAGTGTTTGCTGTTTTCAAGTCGAGATTGAAAAAAGAAATACGTTTAAAGTCTCAAAAGATATTCTGCACCAGCAAAACCTATATAAATTTCCAGTGCAGCATTTTACCTATCACACAACTGTAAACTACTGCTTACCTGGGAAGCACACTTTCCTTTTTATTACTGCTCCAACTATTCTTAAAGATTCATAAGAAACCTTTCTAATATGCTGTCCTCCAAGTAGCAGTTAGACAAAGCATACAAGACATGAACCCCTATGAAACAGTTTTTTGAGGAGCTTAATCCTTGTTTTTGTTTAAGATTTAGTAGAGGTTGGATTGATTTCTTGCTAACTATACACCAGCGGAGCATCAAGGCTTGACTGTGCAGAATGCCAGATATCACACTGCTTATTTGGTATGCAGGGCAGCACACCCTGCAGAACCCTACACTGGAACCACCATGTGAAAAGATTAGGAAAGATACATCTCTGAAGGACTCCTGCTTTAAAGTAATAGAGGCTAGGTGCTTTTAAAGGGGCAAACATCTGCAGTTACTGATCTAACAATGAAAACAAATTGCCTTGATTCGTGTTCTTGGTTTCTGAAACTGACTCCTGCCACGCCGAGGAGTTTAGTTTAGTATTATATCTGTTCTAGTTCCAAATGCTTCATGCTCCTCTGCAAACTTTTATTCCTCACAGAACTGCCAGTGGGAGAACTGACTACTTGAAAACTAAAATTCAGACCCCTTAATAAAAGACACTGACACAAAGCATGCTTCACACAGTGACAGAACTTGGACTCAACTGCTTGAGTACTTTTTTGTGCTTCCTCATATCTCCATTCCTCAATTTAAAATAAAATTATCTCCAAAGTTTCAGGATCACCCACAGCTAGTGATCTTACCAAAAGAAGCTAATTTCCTTAAATATACATATACCAAGACCCCTTTCACTTTGCTTACAAGATTTCTTTCCAACCTTCTTCCTCCAGTTTCCCCTGAAGACACAGTGGAACAGTTGCAGGGCTCTGGCAAACCAATCATCACCAGTTTTCAAAAGAAAAAAAAACAAAACAAAACAAAAACACAAACCCGAACTCTACCAGTACTTCTTTCCACTTCCCTTTTCCCATTGATTTCAAGGGAGGATTTTTACATTTGATGGGCACATTTTCACTAATGCTCATTTCAACATGTTTTCCTTATTTCAAATACAGAAGGAAACAAAAGAAACACAGGATACCCCACTCTTCTACCACAGGAACCTAAATTATCTGGATTGGCCAGAAACACTATCTACCTATAGAATTACACCACCAACCCTTGAACACCTACACTTTTCACACGCATAAAATGGATACGCAAAAAAAATCCTCAGGAAAAAAAAAGGGGTGACACTTGATTTTGTAAGGGCTAACAGAAGTTTATAACTTAATCATACTTCTTTTAATTGCAGTATTTTACCTTCTAAAAGCATATATTGCTCATACATTTTATGGGAAGAAGCCAATGCAAAAGCCTGGAAGCTTTTTCAAGATAAATGGAGTAATAATCAGGACAACACAAAAACTTCATAGGCAGACAGAAGAGCTATTCCCAGACTCTCAAAGGAAAACCACATGCCTTGAAAACAGACTGCTAGACTTAACAGGCAAATCAGAGGTGCTTTATAAGACCATGAGAGAGATGACCAGCCACACAGTCCTATCACTCCCACTTAGTCATTTCCCTTAGTCTTCACTTACTGTTTAACAGAAGACAGTGTTTGACACAATGGTCAAACTTCAAAGGAGTTTGCCTACCAAAGTGTTTGTACTTTTCACAACAGTACACATCTGGGAAGGAAAACACCAGCTGCACAGCAACACCAAAGTCTCTGCTGCCATTCAGCGAGACCTGGACAGG